TGCGACCACCCAAACTATGATTCCTCATGGATGCAACAGCAACAACAGGAGGCTGATTCGTAACATTCACACTACTAGACTTTTTGTTTTCTGGAGCCAACACAGAACTCTTATTGCCTGAAGAAGAATGCTGACGTCTGAATCCTGGCTTATGGCGTGAGCCAGGAGAGGCGACTGCACGCCTCCACACCACAACACCGATCAACCCAGTATTGTCTACACACTTGACCTCATCCAAATGGTCCTTGGAGATGATTTTGCTCAGCAAATCTAGAGTTTCGCCGCGTGGCGGACATAGGTAAAGCTCCACACCTGAGGTTGGCTCTGCGTAACCAACCCTTTGGTCAGCAACGTAAGACTTAGCAACCTGACCCACGGAAAAAAGGAAAAGGCAAAGACTTTTAAGCGAACTATAAATGTTTTTATGTAGTAAGAGAATGGATATAAATGTTATTATTAAAAAGAAAATCATAATTAGGAATTAGTACCTCAAAAAGACTGTCACGTTGGCTCTGAGAGATACCATCCTTACAAACCACGTTCATTACCTGCAATCCAAAAAAAGACAGAATCGTTTATTAGAGATTTTATTGTAACATCCTTAACTATTACACTGATTGCTAAAAATGCATATTAAACAAAAAAAACATTTTTCCTATGTTTCGAGATATTCTGTTCTGGGTCATGATCTGCACGTATAGGTTATGTCCGTTTGTGGACTTGTCACTTTCTATGGTAATGATTCTTGGTAAGATTTTGATGAATCTATATCCTACCCATTTAGTGCCGTCGAACAAATTGGGCACAATACATCTAAAAGTGACTAAACATACAAAATTTCATCAATTTTATACAAATTTCACTATCCAGATTCAATCCAAATCCACGGTTGATTCTCTGCTCAATCGGGGCTCTTTACTGTCCCGTTTTTGTCTCAAACAATCAACCGCGACCTGGTTGGTTGTAATTCCCTTTGCTTTCTGGGTTCCATGTTTAGCTAATGGGAAGCCTATTGTGTCTGCATTAAGAAACGACTTGCAATATTGAGCTAAGATTTGTGGATCTTTTAATGCTCGTAAAGTAGTAACAAGGGAAGAGACTG